ATCTCCCACACAGGCCAACAAAATGCGGAAAATTTTAATACAATGATACAGCAAAAAAAAAAAAAACGCGAAATAGGAAAACTTCTCCTCCTTGTTACTTCTCGCACAAAAATGCACTGTATGAAAAACTTTTCACTTATCTTTCTTCTGATTAGGGCACTTTGTTTACGTAAACGTATTAATAAGGCAAATGCACCACGCAAAATAATGCGCGGAGTAGGCCGCGGATTGTAAATTTGAGTAAGCACCAACCTATCGTATTGCTTGTAGGAGCCTGTATTGCGGAAGTACCATTCATCAGATTCATTGGAACGTGTTGCAGAATTCTGTTCGTTGTGAAATCAGCAGCAGTCGGAAGGAAGATTGTTCGTTGCATGAGCCGATCCACATCCAAAATTCCACCGTTACTACCACTGCTGCTTGTTTCTGTGCTCGCTGCACCAACAATCGGGTATTGTTGACGATCGCCAATCCTAAAAAATTTCTTCATAATACCATGAGCACCAAGCTTTTCCGGAGAATCGATGTGGGTATCCCATGTAAGTGATGTTACCGGAATGCTTTCATACGCCGAGTACAGCTATTTTAGGAATTATGACGTAATATTTTAATTTTTGCAGTGTTTTTAACGCCGACGTAACTGCGGTGAAACTACACTAAAAGTGTTAAAAGCTTGCAGATTTTGGAGGGGCATATTGTTGATTACCATCAATCTTACAAAACTTCATTATAATATCAGGAACATCAAACCCGTACCGGGGAGTCTGGCCAGGCGTCTGGAAGCTCCGCATTAAAGCCGTCAGAAGCCTGCAAATTCTAAGGCCAATTTTATGCCTCTAATCAAAACAGATGCATTCGGTCAACACTCTTCAGGTTCCAGCTTCGCAAATAAACATATGGTACTTGAAACTTAAATAATATCACAAAATACGGTAAAACATGTGTTTCCTCGTAAATCCAATACGTCACTAGCTGAAAATCCTATCGCACAGGAGCAGAAACCACAATGCTACGCCGGGAGCATTCCAGAAGAAGGGATCCAGCAAGCGGGTCATGCCTAATCCTGTTGTGCCACATTAATTCCGATTATACTTAATTATTAGCAATTAACGGGCTACTGATAAGATCATTTTGATCGAATGGGTCTTAGAATGACAACAAAGAAATCCGTGAAAAATTAGCTTATCTGACACTTTCTTTTTGCTTAAACTACAAAGTTGCAGCATATTTTCAGTGAAATACAGCGATTTATACCTTGGTGTAAGCAATATTATGAAGAAATCGTATCTCAGAAAAAAAGTTTGACTTGTTAGGCAGCACTTGGAGAAGGCGAAATATCGGATGGTACCGCAAAGTGTGAAGGGGAGGGGGAAAGGAGGAGGGCAGGCCTGTAATGCCACGTAAGGATCCATTCAGACGGCTCCATGGCATCATTTGGATGAGAGGCGCAAGACAGAGAAGAATGGAGATGTTGCCAGCTTCATCAATGGCGAGAAGAAATGCGATGTTGAAACCAATATCTGATTAAATTATGAAAGCATATATAGGCAGACACTATCATCTTAAAAGATAAACTTTGTCCACATACACTATCATGTCGCATGAGTCACGCTCTAACGATATAAACAGAAAGAAAATGCAAGAATGGTAGAAAGGAAGAGTGATTTAGGCAAAAGCCGATTTGACTAATACGTCTAATTTGATGCATTTCACCTCAACAGTATTTGCGATAGAATCTCTTATAATTTCTACGAGAAGGAAAAGAATGTTTTCCACAAAAATGCAAGGACTACAGCATGTAGAGCTGTGAAAAAACGCTGGCATTTGAACAGCCAACCAAATTTTTCTGAACAGCCAACCAAATTTTTACTTGTTCCTGTTTTTTTGTTTATTTCTTTAATGCATACTTTAGGAACCTTGTCTGCATGTGTTTGTGTGTTCGGATTTTCGTTCGGAACTTCAACTCAGAAATCAAGAGAGCTAAAAAGCTGAAAGTTTAGAAATATTTTCCGTCCATGTACTACTCCTCGGATTCAATTTGAACCTTCAC